AACTAGCTGGCCTCTGGTTTAGCTTATTGCTTTAATAGAGCTATCTGCTTTGTCTTAATTGGTTACCATCAAAATCTCCATTGGTTTTTAGAGCACCCTTGGACTCTATTTCAAATAAAGTCAGTTCCTTTGGGGAGAGTTTATGAGCTCTCTGTTCTTATGGACTTCCTTTTCTCTATTTGTTCTTATTGAAAAATAAAACCTCTTAGTTGGTGCCCTAGAGCTAGGGACAGGGACAGTGGCATGATTCTCTCAGAGTGAAAGCCTTGCTTTATTAGCTGGGCAGAGGTGGCAACCTCTGGTCTTCTCAGCGTATCTGTCCTGGCATGGACAGATAAGCATGTGTGCTGAGGCAAGGGCAATCAGAGTTACAATATTCTTAGCCTGCTGTGCTTAGGATAGAGCTTCTGTCTTATAAATGAGGGTGAGTGGAAGAAGGGAGTACCTGATTTCATGGCAACATTACGAGGAATTTAGCTTTTTCATCTTATAAATGAAGAGAATGTGATTAAATTAGGTGGCCTTTCCTTCGTGATTTCCCTTAACTGGGAGCTGATGGGTCAAGAGCTCTGTTTTCTTGACCCCACCCAACCATCATGTGGAACTGAGGGTTTGATGGGGAGGTAGATAGTTGTGGCTGAAGTTCTTATTGAAATTTAGTATATTTTCTTAAATAAATATTTCTTCATTTGACATTTGCTCTTAGGACAATTTCCAGGGACTTTAAAGAATTGTTTTTTAAGAAGTAATTTTTACTAGTTATGGTTGTTTGCTGGGGAGCAGTTTCAAAGAAGTCCTTACTCTGAAATTCTGCAAGTGGAAGTCTCTCTCTTGGACTTTTTATATTTATCTAAAATATAAGAAAATGAAGGCAATTATTTGAATTTAATTTAAAAAATCTTAAAGAGAAAGGCCTTCTGGGACTAGATTTCTGGGCAGAATCATCTAGGGCAGCGGTTCTCAACCTATGGGTAGTGACCCCTGAAAATACATCCTGCATATCAGATATTTACATTACGATTCATAACAGTAGCAAAATTACAGTGATGAAGTAGCAACGAAAATAATTTTATGGTTGGGGGTCACCACAACATGAGGAACTGTATTAAAGGGTCGCGGCATTAGGAAGGTTGAGAACCACTGATCTAGGGTTTTTCACTGTGATTGAATTCATTTGAAAACTTCTTAGCTTTGCAAAATGCTTTGACTAAGCAGACTTAGGATACTCTACAAATATATTTTTTCAGCAATGTGGACGTTGCACTAAAAAAGTCTGACTTAATTATTGCCCCTAGTGTGAAATCCATATTTTAAGACAATCTTAGTTTTCCTCTTCATTTACTTGATAGCTTGGGGCCATTATCAATTTTTTAAGCCAGAAACTTTAAATGTATTCATTGAAGTCAGTTCATCAAACTTTATGGAGTTCTATCCGGGACAATCTATGAACATTGCTCTGGGTACAGTGGGAGACTTCAATATAGATTATATGATCTATAGTTGCAAAGAGCCATTAATTGGGAATTTACATAACCAAGAAGGCACAATTAAATTCTCTCTCTTTGCAGGCACTTGGTTAATATTTAGATTTTTTCCTAAGTAGTTGTTTTTTTCACTAAGGTCATTAAAGAAGTCAGAAGAGGTGGTATTTACAATCGTATCATGTGAGTTACATTGGCTCCTTTAGTAAAATATCCCGTAAGCATGTCCTGCTGGCCTCAGTGGCCACCTAACTTCTCAGGGCCTCATAGGCCTTCTATTGTCAAGTACCCAAACTTTCTTGTTCCCTCATTTATAATTATGGCATAACTACATTCCATGGTATTTACTTTCATAATGATTGGCTCTCCTTTTCTATAATTATTTGATTCTCCTATATGATGATGATGTGAATGAGATTGCCGAGGTAAGCAGAAATCTAGGAATATATATTAAAACTATGGTGAAACCAACAAATTTTGGGGAAACATTTCTTACTTAAACCCTCAAGTTAGGAATAAATTGTTGATGCCTCTGGTTTTTCTTTCTAGTTATCTTCCTGTCAGTCTGAAAGAATTTGGAGAATAACTAGACCCCCATGTGTTACCTGTTTTCATTTTGTACTTATGTCATTCAAATTATTAACCCCACAAAACAACCCAGAACTCCATTCATTCAGTAAACAACTAAAGGTCCCCCTGTCTGGCAAGCATTGTGCTAAGTGCTGGGCTTCAATATTAGTGAGATTATTTCCTTGATCTTAAAAAAATTTTATAGGCTCATGAGGGAAACAAATATGGAAACAAAATAAATGTATTAGTTAGTGTTCTATGGTAAAAGAATTATGTGCAGGGCAGATAGAAGACCACAAGGTCAATGCTTACTTCTGCAGAACAGTAGAGAGGTCAGAAGAATCTTCACCTTCAGGAAGTGATGACTAAACTGCGCCATGAAGACAAATTCTGAAAAGACTGAATTAGACAAAAAGTGATGAGGAAAGGCATTCCAGGCATGAGAAAGGCTTGAAGAAAAAAATCCACACAGATAGACTTATCTTAATGGTCTTTTAACCTTACAATTAGGAGGATGTAAGTCGAAGAGAAGACTCTGTTTCCTTGATTATAATACTTTTATTTTTATTTTTGGTCTGACTTCTCCAAGTCTCCTGGTCTCAACGTCCTTGGTAACAGAGAGCAGTGCCATTTTTATCTAATACAGAATCTAATATTTAGTAGGTTCCTAAAAATGTGCTGAATGAATCAATGACATACATCCATTGGTCATTATCCACATTAAGGCCAATTCTTTGCCCTGGAAATTAGTTCTGAGTGTACTTCATATCGTGGTACCAGCCCCTATTTCTGGGTTTCTGGCCTTTCACTAGAGCTCCAGCAAGAGAAGGACTGCTTCCTGAGGCCAGGTTTGGCTGCACTTTCACTGGAAGTAGCAGCAGGGATGTGCAAACTCCACATAGTTATAGACTGTGGGTTAAGCTTTGGCTTATGATCTTGTGCCTAATTTTAAGAAAAATTATATACCTTGATGCATATCATGCATAAATAGATCAGAAATTGGTCATTCAAGCTACTCCTTTCATTTTAACAACTTTTCTTCCATTATTTTTTATTTAATGTAGCACTGATTATCTTCTATAGCACATAATAGGAAAGAACTGGGTTGGGTCTTTCATCCCTCCCGGCCTATCACCTCCTCATTTACTGGTCTTGAACCCTTAGTAACACCACAATTTGTCATTTCCGGGTATTCCTGGTCTCTACCCCCTCATGGGTTATGTGTCAGCTCCAGGGCTTGGTAGGAGGTAGGTGAGGAGAAGCCAACTCTCTCCTTTCCTGCCTGGCCCAGTCAGTCTTCACTGTAGACCACACAAGGGTGTAAAAGTGTTTATGGCTTTTTTCTTTTTTTTAATGCTGGGGGGGGGGGACTCAGAACACCTTGACTTTAAATGCTCAGCAAGGGCACACTCAGTGGGCGCAGCTTCAGTGACTACCCAGGTGTCCTGCCCTAAGGTGAGTCCCTTTCTAGGAGAGGACATTTGGGGGAGCTCCTTCTCTCTCCACAGGATCCATTTTCTCTCACTGACCCCCCCAATCCCCAGCAGTACATTCCCTCACATCTCACTCATTAACTATAATAAAGGGGGGCACTCTGAGGCTTAATATTCTAAGATCAAGAGGATAAATTGCAGTAGGTGCGGCTTTGTAACTCCAAATCACACAGGTTCCCTTTTGAAGTCTCTCACTTCCCCTCCTCCCCTGAACTACAGGCCAGCCCCTGGAACACACATCCCCCCCCGCCCCCCCGCCACACTCACACCCTCCCCAACCACCACACACCACTCCTCCCAAGGACTAATGCTAATTACCACAGAAATTACAGACTAATGTCTTAAAGAAGGAAGAGTTCGTTTTCTGCCACATAATTTGCAAGGCAATACTCTCTCCGCAGTCTGGACATCTTATTATTATGCAAAAAAAATACACAGTATAATTCTCTTTCTTCGTCCCATCCTCACCCTAATCCTTCTCCCCATGCCATTTTAAATTGCACTCTCTGGGCTTGCTAGAAATAAGAGAAAGTCCTATTGTGGGGCCGGAGACTCATCCACGGCCTGCGCTAACAAAGAGATGCTTTGCTATTGCTGTTCCATTAAGGAATAGATTAACTCCTTATCTGAGAGTCCACTTTACCCTCAATTTCCAACTAGGCAGGAGGGGTGCCAATGGATTAATCTTCCCCTGGCAAAATATAGGCAATTGACGATGTGTGCACAATAGCTAGGTCACATGGTCTGACAAAGGATTTATTTTTTTCTGATTCATGTTTCATTTTCATCAAATCTTACAAAAGAATAAAAATCAAGCTGGATTTCAGTTTTTGGGTGTGTGGCATTTAACTAATCACCTTTGCGGAGAAAAGGAAAATTACACAAACTCACATAGAAAATTCTGCCAGCATGGTCATCAGGGCTTATAGATACACGAGTTAATTATGAAAAATGTTCAAGCCCTTAAATAAATCTTAAAAATTCTCTTTGAACACGTGGCCCTGTAGCCTGGTGAGTCTAAAATTGGTCAAAGGCAGAGCTGAATGTCAAATGATAATTTCTGCTAAATAATTCAGGTCACCCGAACTCTGATATTTTACCTATTTTAATGAGTATAATGGGTGCAATTAGAGGCTGTTTTCCTCAAGGCGCCAGACACAATATGTTCTCCCCTAATTGTGGGCTCCTTTTTCTTCTGGTAATTCCTATCTGAACATTTGTCCTATATTCCCAATGCCTGGCAGCAACAGCCGCTAAATAAATGTGGGGTGAAGTCAGGAACTGAGTGAAGTTTTGATGCTTATCATGAAGCACAGAGAGATTGCAGAGCAAAATCCAGAGACATCTCCATAAGAAAGTCTGTGGTCAGTTTCATCTGCAACAGCATGGAATGGGAATAAAGACATCTTAGGACTTGGGCTTCTCTCTAATGTTATCTTTTTTTCTCCCCTGGCAGGGAAGTGGTGCTGATATGGTTGATAAGAACAAATGCTGCACACTCTGCAACATGTCTTTTACCTCGGCGGTGGTGGCCGACTCCCATTATCAAGGCAAAATCCATGCCAAAAGGTTAAAACTGTTGCTAGGAGAGAAAACTCCGCTAAAGGCCACAGGTATGTGTGTGAAGCGCAATCGTGGGGAGATGCCGGAGTTCAAGCAGCGTGCCTGTCTCCTTAATTCTGCCCCCTCTTCAGTGGTGGCTGCCAGAATCAGAGACTCGTGGCAGATGTCCTTCCACACCGAAAGGGAGGGGGCAGGTAGCCCTGGCAAACCTTACTGTCGTGGACCGTTAAGTCCAATAGCAGGTGCTCATTCTGAACCTGGCTCCTTTAGATCTGTCAGCCGGCAGCTTGCAACTTCTGAAAGGCTGTTTACCTCCTGCAAGATGTTGTCTGTCATACTTATTGTATGTTATGTAAGATATTATATCTATTATGCAAAGAACAGTGTTCTTCCCTAGCTTCAGTCTGCAATCAGTATGGTAACGGAGAGTGTGCTGTGTGTAACGGGTACATTCCCTCCCGGGCCTGTGTGGTGCGGGGTATCCTGCGGGGAAGAGGAAAGCTGCAGTTATGAAAACCATGTTTGTTTGCAAACAACTGAGTTGGGTTTGTTTGTTTGTTTTTTTAAAGAAATTTTCTATTTAGAATAAGAAAATATAGATATGGCGTTTTAAATATAAATCTTAAATCCTTATTTTCAGATGTTAAATAGTATTTGCTACAATTTTTTTAAAATGTAGTTTTTATTGATTTTTAGAGAGGAAGGGAGAGGGGAGAGAGAAACATCAATGATGAGAGAGAATAATTGATCGGCTGCCTCCTGCATGCCCCACACTGGGGATCGAGCCCACAACCCAGGTTGTGCCCTGACAGGGAATCGAACTGTGACCTCTTGGTTAATAGATTGACGCTCAACCACTGAGCCACACCAGCCAGGCTATTTGCTGTAAATTCAATACTCCATTATGATTTATTTAATTATTGAGGTAACATTGGTTATAACATTACATGCATTTCAGTGCTCACCACTGAAGGTCTAGTTTCTACCTGTCTCTGCACCTTTGACCCCCTTTACCCATTTCACCCTCTCTCTACTCCTCCTCTGGTGACCACCAATCTATTGTCTGCATGTATGAGTTTGTTTTTGTTTTTCGTATGTTCATTTTTTTCTTCACATCTGAATAAAATCACATGTTTTTTGTCCTTTCTCATCTCGCTTATTCAATGAGCATACAAGGTCCATCAATGCTCTAACAAATGACAATATTTCGTCTCTCTTTTTTAACCTATTAACTTTCACAATCAAAAGCTTACATATTGAATAACATTTGGCCTTCTAATTGCTCAACTAAAAAATTTTTTTTCGGAAGTCTATCAAAGCACAAAACTAAAAATACTGTTTTAATTTAATCAAGGTAGGCTATTTGAACAAGGCATACATTATGGTGAAGATGTTAATTAGAATAGATTATAATCCAAAGAACTTGGAGGTGTAGTTCAAGATGTCTATTCTTTCAATGCAATTAAAATTTAGCAGTTCATTTTATCCTGCTGTCTAATGAATCGTGCATAAATCGTGGGTGTAATTCTTTTTTAAATGGTATTTTGGAATTTGGAGAATGTATAAAACAATACTTGGCTTTTATCCTCAGCAGTGTTTTTCTTAGGAGAAAGATCTTCTTTTACTTAGAGAATAGCAAGAAATCTTTTCACTGTATTTTTCTACTTAGTCTAACAAAAGAACACTTTTTTTGCAAAGGTGGCTTTGACATTCAGATATAGGATAGGGTTGTGAAACATGAAACCTGGTGACAAGCTCAGCCTATTTGGGGGCATACTCTGTGTATGAGCATTTGATAAGCAACCACTTGATTGAAATTCCTGATTCTTTCTCTTTAAAAGGTTGGATACTCACCTTGTAACCTACTCCCCTTCAAATCTCTTAAAATAGACACCTCAAAAAAACAGTCCCTGGAAAATTTTTCTCTGTTTTCCATGAATGAGCAACTAGCTCATTTGTTCTCTCTGCCTCAGCAGAGGATTGCTATTAAATTTAAGTTCAGAGGTAGAGATGGAAGAGGAGCTGTACCATTGTTTATCACCTTAATTAGCAAATAGAGTTATTATTTCTGTAAAAAAAATCACCACATGGCAAAAATAGTTCTTTGTGAATTTAAATATATCCCCAAGATCGCCAAGTGCAAGTGTGTTTTCCTGAATTCAAATACCCTCAGAGCTGTAAATAGAACTTGGCTGTAATTTGTTAGCTGCCATCAATATTCCAAAAGAAAAATCAAAATCACTTAAGCTAAAATCTTTATATAGTGCCTTTGCTCTGGTGTCCATAAAACTAGCCCAGTCCTCACTGTGACAGAAATCAGGTTGCTGGGTAGGCAAGTAGGGAATGGGGATGGGTGGGTGGAAGAGCACTACTTGTGTGTGGGGCTGTGGGAAACAGCATTCCCCTTCCTCACCTTGCTCAGCATTCCCAGGCTGCACATCACTGTTCTGAAGCTTATCCTCTCATCCATTTTCTTCTAACACGGCTCTGAGAAGAAAGAATCTTGAAAAGTGGCAACATCAGATAGAATTGAAGGGCTTGGGAAGTGAAATTGGTCCCTGGGCTTGGGTTAGTGTCAACCCAGCTGCTGGTGGTGAGCAAAGGAAACAGTATACCTGATAGAGAGAGGTGAGTCCTTAGGTAAGAGTATAAGCAGAGGGTAGGCTAGGGAGGTGTGGCACAGGATAGGGTTTGAGGGCTTGCTAAGGAGGGTAGAACCTAGCAATGGAGAGTCTGGGTACAGAGGTCCTGCAGAGTCTTGAGCAGGGCACCAGCGTCAGGAAAGTCTGGCAGGTGGAAGCAAAGTCCTGGCTGCAATCATGTGGTTCTAGGGCAGTGGTCAGCAAACTCATTAGTCAACAGAGCCAAATATCAACAGTACAACAATTGAAATTTCTTTTGAGAGCCAAATTTTTTAAACTTAAACTATATAGGTAGGTACACTGTTAGTAACTTAATTAGGTTACTCCTAAGGCTTAGGAAGAGCCACACTCAAGGGGCCAAAGAACCGCATGTGGCTCGCGAGCCACAGTTTGCCGACCATGGTGGAAAGGAAGGACTGTTAAAAATGTTGCAGAGCATCATTATTTAAGAGTACTGGGCTGGTCATCAAGCATAAGCAACATGTCAAAAACCTGGTTCCCAGACCTAGGCTATAGGGGAGGGCTTGGTCTCAAGCACAAATTCAGTTACTACAAGTACAGGATCAGGACCAAGAGGCACCAGAGATGATACCCAGGCCACGGGCTTCCTGAGCTTCTGTGTCGCCCCTTTAGCTCTTTACCTGTCATGGTTCCTGCTGCCTGCAGCCCAGCCCAGCCCAGCCCAGCAGCAGTTCCTGAAAGACTTCGCCCTCTGAACTGTGGCTGCCCTGTGTACATCTAGGAACTGCTCTGCCTAATCAACCAGCGTGGCTTCAAATTACCTCTGTAATGAAAACAAAAGAAAAAAAACGCCCATATAAAACTCAAGAAAGTGAATCAAGATCCAGAGCGAAGCAATTCTCTTGCTCAGGTGTGCTGCCTAAGCTGCCCCTCCAAGAATAATGGGCTCTTTGAACTGTAGTGTTTTCTGGGCAGGAATAATTGAAGCACGACTCATTGCTTCTCCTAGCTATTCCACGTGTTGAGGGTGAGCAATTGGTACCTGTGAATCATTACCTTTCCTCTGACTCAGGGTGCCCTGGGCTCACGCATCAGCTGGGTATCCCACAGAATTAGCTGTCATTTTAGTTGCCTTCTCCAGGTGGGTACACGTTTACTAGAACACCTGAGTTACTGGAACAAAAAACCAGTTTCAATTCTTGGTTAGTGTGTTTCAGAATCTCTGTTCTAGTTCATGCTATTCTAGATTTTGCTGCAAGATGAGAGCAGGCGGGGGAGGGGGAGCGGCTCTAGACTCATCGTGTTTTCCAGGGTCAGCAGACCTCAGCATGGAGATCTTGCTGAGATCAGAGGCCAGAGTGAGGTTGTGTAGTCATATCACACTATGAAGAGCATTGAGGGGAGACTCGGCCAGAGGCCAGAGGCCAGACAATGAAGAGCATGAAAATGCTCTCATTGGAGGAAGAGTGAAGGAAGCAAAAGTTGTTAAGCATGGAAAAATGATTACTCAGGGGTAAATCATTTGGAAGACTGTCATGAGGAGTATTCAACCGAAGGACTTGTATGCATGCATATAAGCATAACCAATGGACATAAGACACTGGGGGGTAGGGGAGGCCGGGGGATTGTCAAGGGTGGGGGAAAAAAAAAAGGAGACATATGTAATACTCTTTGTAATACTTTAAGCAATAAAAAAAAAGATTGAAAAATGATTACTCAGGGGTAAATCATTTGGAAGACTGTCATGAGGAGTATTCATGTTGTGTGTGTGAGTGTGTGTGTGTGTGTGTGTGTGCAGATGCATGTATGTGCTTGGTTGCAACAAATATGACCAAGGAGTGAGTAGAAAATGAGGGAATTAGATCTGAGCTCAAGATAAGAGAGAATTTATTAATATTTAGAGATACTTAAAGGTAAAATGTGTAGCTGTGGGAGATGCTAATCACTTGGCAGGGCATTTTCTGAGGGGGTTCCTGCATAATTAGCATACATGACATTTAAAGTCCCTAGATTATATAGTTAGTCTGGATGACATTAAATTCCTTCTAACCCTGAGATTCCCCTCCAGAATCCACAGGCTTGACCCACTGACATAATATAGCAGAAATAATACTGACCTAGGAGTCAGGAGACGGGAACTCAGGCTCTAACTCTGCCTAGTTACATAATCTTTAGTAGCTCTGCTATCTTTTTCAACCTCAGATTTCTTATCTGTCATTTAATTCTAATGGTGGATGAAGTGATCTTACTAACCCTTATCAGAATAAACAATAGATTTAAAAGCACTTTTGGGAGGTGGGGGCTGGGTGAAGGTGGGCAAAGGAGGGGAAGTGGGGGACATGTACAATAGTGTCAACAATAAAAAATATATAAAAGAAAGAAAATTAGAAGGTGCTCTGAGCATTTGGTAAATGAGTTAATAAGGGATGTGGCTCCTAACATGGGCT